GCATTCCTTTCTGACACCTCCACCATCCTGACATCTTCTCTTCCCGATTTTTCGATAATCCCAAGTACCCAGTAGCCTCCGACGTTGCGCCCTCGATTGTACTTGCGCTTGCCAAACTTGGATTCATCGATTTGGACCACTGTGCCAGGTTCATCTAACAACTCATCGTCTAGTGTTATTGTTGAAAAATGATGAATAACCATTTCTCGTCAATATTTGTACCTAATAAATGTTCTTCTTATAACATAGATGCACTTAAATAAATTCATAGCTAGCATACCAGAATGCAATGGTAGGTGGAGAAAGATGTTGTTCGGCACCGGGATTATCTATTTCGTGGGCAGCGTCACTATAGCTCGACTCTCTCGGGAAATCGTACATAAGTCTGTGAAAAAAAGTCAATAAGATAATATTACAATTTTTACAAAAATTATAGTCGTCATGTCTGAATTGGTGAACTTTTTTTCATATTTATACTGGTTAAAATAAAATTTTCAATCTTATTCAATAATTCTTTAAGTCCAAACATACTAAAAAGAAGTGAATTATAATGTACCTAATATTGGAAAAAACTAACCGAAGCACTTTTGGGAAGGGCATACGACATTCTTCAAAAACAGTGCCATTGGAGATAGATACCGTAGGGCAGGAAGTAGATTTTGGACAGTAAAATCTGCCGGCCACACCTCAAAATCTTACTTTCATCGCAATCCTGTGCCGATTGCACATTTTTGCAATTGGAAATAATCCCCGTTCTTTGGCCCACTCAACAGCCTCTTCCGGCTGTCTGGGCAAAGAACAAAGGTTATAGGTAGCCATATCTATGAAGAAAAGAAAAAATAATTATAGTATAGATACAAAAAAAAAGTTCACAAATATTATGAAATCAATCACAATGTTAAAGAAAATCTCCAAAAATCGTAATAAAATTCTAGAAATCGAAAGAATTTGAACAGAAAAATCAAATTCTAATTCTGGTGCGGAATTTTTTTAATATTAACGAATCAAAAAGATTCATGATTTGGCAACATTGCAACTAACGGAAAAATTAATAGTGATGCTGATGTAGTGATGGGAATCTTTATTTTAAATATAAGAAACGATTACTTGACAATAGTTCATTTTAATCGTACAAATAATACAACATTGATTTATTGCGATAAATATTGTCACACTACTATACAGTGTATGCTATATTCTTATAATTTAAAGCATCCTTTTGTGCAAAAAACAAAAAATAAAGAGTATAAAACAGTACTCTATTCTAGAGTATTACCACCAAAAATGCAACTGTGAAGTTCTATAAAATAGCAAGCAGAGGGTTCCTTCCAATGATATTTTCGTGAAAGTTACATCTTAATCTTCCATTTTAGAATAAGAAATGAGATATTTGCGATATGCGCTGAAGTACAGTTCAGCCCATCCTACAAATTTCTGAATGTTATCTTTTACATACAGGTAAAATCTGTAATTTAGTTCTGGAAAATGAGTACAACGATGAAAACGCCCAGACAAACATGTCGGACATTTTATTACAGGCACAAAATAATGAAGGAGATGTGTATTATTGACGACTAGCAAGCCAAGCCGGACGGATGTCGCGGCCAGAGACGAAACAGTTGTCTGGCAACGACGGGTCAAGGTCACACACCAAGTTTCAGATCGAAAAGCTCAACAACAAAATACACATACAATCTCGCTGGTGATATTACACTTTTTCTCAAACTCCTTCGAGCCTCAGGTGATTAATGGTCGACCGGAAACGTGACACGTCAGTTTCCTTTCCAACGCTACAGGGCGCTTGTGTGTATAAGAACCCAGCGGAACAGTGTCTTTCTTCACTTTGCTAGCAGTCATTGGGAGCGATCAGCTAACGTAAAGCGGTTCAGCGGTGCAGCGCTTTTATGCCGAATAGCGGAGCATTCATTGAAAAGCGTTGCCAGTTCGCAACATTAATCATCATACTGTCCAATCTGACAGCCAAGTTATAACTGCTGACAAACTGACAATGTTTGCTGCTATGCAGCATGAAAGCGCTCCAGCACTGGACCGCTTTAGGTTGGCTGAACGATTTCAATTACTTCTGGTACGTAAATCGACATGTTCAGGTACGATCTAATGTCATAATTCTCTGCTGCAATGAATTGATCCAAACGTGTATCTCAAGTACAACGTCGGAAACAAATTAAAAGTTAATTTGCACAGGTTGCAACGACAAAGAAATAGTTTGCACATATTATTGAAATGACTTATCGTTACAATTGTTCCAGAGAAAGATCCATATCCAGTTGACGCGTTGCCCACCTGCAACCATGCGCTGTCCGTCTGCCAACAGGAACACAAGTGCATCAAACTCTACGAAGACTTCAAGTCCAACTGCAAAGTGCGCGATAACAGGTGTCGGATGGACGACAGGTGAGAAGGCAACACTTTAAAGATCATTGATGTCATTCATTTATGCTGCAGTATTTACCGTATATCAGTATTTATCTTGGAATACGGTCTCTTTTATTACTATCCGATCTGTCAAACTGTTAATAACATCCTTTTGTGGGATTTGGTGCGTTGACATCATAATTCAGATACCCTCCAGACCAAAACCAATATAACAATGGGCCATATTATGACGAATTGTTATACGAAAAACGTGTGGTCTGGAAGTTATTTGAATATTAATACCAATGTTACGAATACCTACAAAAAGAGTGTTATTAGTTTTACAGACTGGTCAGTATTGGTGTCACACCCTAATAATAGACCTACTAACCTAAGGAAAGTGAGGGAGATTCTTTCCCAGATTAACTACCCCCGAACTTTTGTTGATGCCAGCATAAGGGGAAGAGTACACCAAATGTTTAATAAAAAATAATGCATTGATGAACAGAACACGATTGTTTGCCTTGTGTCGCAGGTCTGCCTAAAAATATGAATAAAATATTATCGAAGCCCAAAGTTTATGTTGCACATAATCCTGTTACATCAACTAAAACATATTTCAAAACCTAAAGCCGCCAATCGAATAAGATCTGCAAAGCAACTTGATTTACAAAAAACATGCAAGGATTGTCCAAGTTCATAAATATGTAGGACAGACTAAACAGAATACAGGGTCTCGTCTCGTTAATGATATGCGAATATTTAGGGGTATGAATCTACATGAGAATTCAGTGTTAGTTTGCTTTCTAAACTATGGTCCAAAAATGTTTCCTTACAAAAACTCGGGGTGTTGAAGTTTCAGGAAGAAAATGGAAATTAATTAATATTTTCAGAACCGCATCAGATATTTCACTGATGTTTAGTACGTAGTGGCAGTTAATAAAGTTGCATATTTTTCAATGCAAAAATAATTTTTAGCTTTAACAGTGGCGTGCGTACGGTTATTGACTTCGATATTTGTTAAGAAAAAAATGGTACGCAAATGCTTTTTTGCCAAATAAAAATTATCTTTGGATTCCCCGTTCAATTTGAATCAAATGATCTTTTTGTAATTGTTTTCCTTTGATGCGCCATTTTTGAGTAAAAAAATAAATACCGTTCTATTGTCTAACTTGCAAAATTATCATTAATTTATTTGGAAAAATTAAACACATTAGGGGCAATGAACAACAACAACTGACAACATAAACATGACATTAAAGCCAACAAAATGATTACAAAAATTGTTGAAAATGGCCCCTTTCACTTAGTATTGATGCTTCCGCCCTCCTTCTCATGAAATTGCGCGCTCGTTGAAATATCTCTGGAGTGTTTTTTGTTCTATCACAAGCTGCAACTATTCTTTCTCTTAATTCCTCTACAGTCTTAGTGGAACTTGTGTACACTAGTGTTTTAGGATAGGCCCACAAAAAGAACAGGGTTGAATTTGACTCTAACAGTCGACCTTGAAAGTTTCCTGGCAGCTGGTACTATAGACTAATTGGTCAAGTCGTCTCCACCGAGTGGAGGAGATGCGGGTTCATAACCCGCCGTCGCCCATTTTTCCTATCTCTCAATTTGTTGTTTCCAAAAATGCATTGATTATGGTAAAGACAGAAGATGTATTTAGGACAACAAATTTAATTCACATTAGCAGACTATTACCGAGTATGTTTCTTAACCATACTACTTGGTCTCTCCTATCTAAGTAAATCACATCGCGATCCTGCTATAAAGAATTAGAAAAGCACGATAGGTAGAGAGGGGCAGCCAAGGGAAAAAATAGGTCTGTTGTTGAAAACATTTGTATAGGTAGTAGAGTTAATTCTTAGTTGTATAGGTCAAGTAATATAGTTTCCAGCAACGCTGCAACCCCCCCAGAATACTAATTTAAACTAAGATACACCTACTATTGGCAAAATGGGATAAAAATTAGATTTAAACACTAGGAACGCTACGATGGTTTCCGATATAAATAGCAACTTTGTCAGCAAAATGTCTATTTCGTCTTTATCCTGCTACTACTATTAACCCTATGACTTGATCACTCCTGTATCTAAGAATATCACAATACGAAAGTCTTACAGATCAATTCAATTTGAATTGCAATGTATCATGCTTGGAATCAAAATTAAATACCTCACAGCCGTCCTGTTACGGATATTATCAAGTATAAATGGACAGTGTAATATTTGACATATCATACCCGACGTATCACATCAGTTGAGGGATTTCTCGCCTTATCATCAGTCTCTTCACGTCCCCATTTCCGACTAAATTTCCATGTCATTATCTTGTTTTACCAGAGATAGCTAGCTGCGTATGTCAACGCTCGATTTTCAGCCCTACTCTAAAGTAAATTGGTGTTCATGTCGCAAGCGCAAGATGAGTATGAACATTGTTAGAATCTTATATTATATGATTGTACCACACAGATTTATTAACATATATAAGGCAGTTTGGCTAAGTTATAGATAACATTCCGAGGGAATTGTAAGTGGATATAAAATTAGGTGAAAGCGTAAAGGTAATGCATCTATTTGTCATTATGGGCAAAAATTAGAATAGAAAAGACCTTTATTGATTCCTTTTGTGATTATCAACGGATGACACTGAATTCTATTCTCCTAAATAATATGAAGCCCATAAATAGCAAGTGAATGTATGTATCTCCAGTTCTTGTTTTTGTTGCATTATTCCATAAGTCAGCATTGTTCCTTTGAATCTCAGTGGGTGCTTGTTTTGTTAACATGATACTGGAGCTTCTCTGTAATAGAACAAAAATAGTTTATTTCAATATTTTTAAATCGATTTACTTAGTATGTCCAGCAGCTGCATACATGTTTGAGCACTTTAAAAAAACTAAATTACTATATATTTTGAATGCAAGCACCACCCAATGGTACAAAGCATCTAACGATCGTATTTTGAATTCTTACATAGTTCGGTGTAATGAAATTGACGCATAAATACTATGCTTTAACGTAAAGATAACAGTAGAAAATTTCATGACATAGGCTTGACGTCGTCTTGTAATATTTTTCAAATGACTGTGGGATCACCTTATTATGTAGTTTCTTATGAATACTTTATAACCCTAGGTATAAATTCTCTGTTTTTTAAAATGGCGGACACACAGGCTGTCAGAGTTGAGAGTTTCCTTTTTAGATTGAACCGCTTATCAAAACGTAATAGATGTGATATCAATCTTCTTGTTTTGGAAGGATTTACCTGAATATGCAGTAAAATGTGACTTTGATCCCGTTTTAAAAATTCCATAGATTTGGACAATATTTGTTTTCCACGCCTTATAACGTGCGACTATTGCAATCACTTGAAATTTAAAAATATTGAGAAATTCATTTTGTTTGATGTTCTATGACATTTTAATCACCAAAAACCATGTCACTTACTTCCGTCGGTCTGTCTGTCTCTATCTGTCGATCTGTCCGCAAATCCTAGACCGTCTATAGCATGGAAAGTACTGCTCGGATTTGATATTTTCACACAAGGTTGCTGTTAGACCGAGGACAAAAAAGCTTTTGATTTTGGATATGGATGTAGTGGTGCGGAGCTAAGTATATTCATACGCTTCCAACCTTGCTAATTTTAAGCACCTATTAATACAATTGTTCGTAAAACCTGCAGAAATATCAAGCGAACGTGTCCCGGCTAGGACGCACTTACCCTATGCTATGAACTTTCCCTGGTACCCACAAAATCCTTCTGCGACTCACAAAAAAATTAGTCTCTGGTTATCCACTGAGCAACACGATTGACTGATGTCAATGACAAGCCATTTTTTCTGGATGCGACATGGATGCCAGATTCTGTGGGAATACCGCCCGCGACGTTGCTGGCTGCTTAGATCTGAACCTGTTGTATAATTTTATGGTGCACATTCCTAATGACATATAGAATGGTATATTCTATAACTCCATATGTTATTAACATCTTTTTGCCATTTTGATATAAGTACTCACTTATCTGTTGAAGCAGTAGCATCAGTGACACACGCCATTATAAACTCTTTTATATATCCTTGTTATTTAAAATTTTTAAGAGTCAAGAAAATAAAAATTGTTAAAGTCTCTAGTGAAAATAAATTCGTTTCAAAAGAAGTCAATAGCTTTCGTTAACGACTGCAAGGTTGCTAGAGTTCCCAGAATTAGTCTTTAATAGGAACAGGAATATTTAGTCATATTTTGATGACATTTATAGCCAGAATGTAAGATTTTGGTGTAAAAGATGATTATAATTTTATATGATTCAAGCATGTTTACTATATTTTATCAGAATATCCAACTTTCAACTCATTCTCATGTCAGCTTCTTTCTTAGCTATAAATCTAACAAAACTCTTTATTTTGCGGTACATATTCAAGTTTGAAAACTACATTAATTACAAAATACCGATATTAACAGGGAAGCTCTACAAACCGCTCAGTTTTACACAAACTTAGCCATGGCCCTGAACACAAAATTATCCAGATATATTCCTTGGATAGATTAACAGCAGTAGATCATCTCTATTCTATCCATCTATGATCACTAGAAGTTGGCAGTAGAACAAAGTACCTTTAGCTCTGCTTATTGAATGCTCCATAGTGCTCGACATATGATGTGACTGTTAACCAACAAATTCAGACTAGCTAGGAGCTAATTTATGATCTGCTTGCCTCCAAAATCTAATAGTCTTTAGTCAGGATGAAAGTCCATACTACATGTTCATCAGGCACAAGACCCAAGTTGGACAGTTATTGATATGCAACACTAAATTATGTATTTCATTCTTTTATTGTGTTATATAGGTTCGTGGTTATCTTTTTTCTTATAGTAATAATCCTTTATGAACTGATGACAGCGTTGCGTGGGAAGTGTAGAGTCAACCTACTTGAAGACATGTTGATTGGTTCTTTAGTTGATACTTGAGCGCTCAGCCGCCTTCTTCAAATTTTCAGCAGCCACTTTTACATTAATTTCACTTCCTCTGAATTCCTGATGATTAAATTCGCTTGCTTGTTTCAGTAAAATTGACATTAAATTCAGGTGAGAAACTTCATCGCAAGCTACTATACATATTTAATGAGTAGCTAAACCGTAGGAAATATTTTTTATTAATAACATCGCATACTACATATTTCAAGCGTCCTGAATAACACATCCATGACAGGGAAGCGGGGACTTCATTGGTCAAGGACAACAAAACCGTTGTCGTCAGCAGTTCATTGTTCCCTATCTTCTACATGCAATCTTTCAGATACTCAACGATTCCATTGTCTCCTCAACCCCACGTACAGCATACGTACCTTTCATCTATGAGGCATTTCTTATCTCCATGTCAGAGGTTAGAGCAGGACCGGATACAGCGGAGTGTACACCTAAATTCCTGTGGTGTAGTATAAGTTTCCACTTGACGTCAAGTAGACTAAATATATGGTTACCAGGCAAACATGTTCTTATTTAAATTCTAATCAAGTATATGATAATTAAAAAAATCGGCCGAAGGAATTGTGTGATAGGGATAAATCATGTCGGTTCCGATGGTAAATATGACTATATTTTATCTCTGACATGAGCGTAAAGTTACGGGATTCAAAAGAGTCTTAATAATAGAGCATCTTTCACTAATACCGTAGATGCAACACTTACAGCCCCCACACCCCAAGCCTCGAAAGCTTTTGCGTCCTGACCATAGCAGCTTGGTGAAAAAACTTAAAAATCCGAGCTGCCCTTTCTGTGTTATAGAGGGGCGAGAGACTGGTGAACAGACGGACAGGCATACTGCCGGAAATGCGTTACAATGTTTTTTTGTGATGTACATGTCATGTAACATCCAAGAAACATAATATCTCATTTTCAACATTTGTCGTGATAACAAGACTGTTTTTTCAAGTTTTGTGAGAAGTAAAATAGATAAATAGTTTTCACGTCTTGTCGACCATTTTCTGTTTGCTAATATCCAGTATATTGGGGCTTTTTAGTAAATTTCCTCTTAGTTTCACTGAGAGCTCTACATTTGTTTTGCATCTGTTGTAGGCTAAAATGTATGACTGTTGGAAGAAATATTAGACTATAAATGCTATACTGTCTAAAGTCCTCCTGTGCGTAAGTGTATTCAGATCGCTGCAGATTTAGTTTAGAAAAAGCGCATAATAACTAGTTAGACTTACAACTATGAATACATAACTGATACCATGAAGTATGAGTAGAAGAAAAAAGGTAAGCCAATGCAGCTAACGTAGAGTAAATAAAGAGGTACGATTCACCCAAATACTGTGCGTAATCAGCTTATAGTCCAAGAAAGGAGGCAAGATTCTTAAAAATCGGAGATTAGAGCGACATTTCAAATACAGAATTTTTGGAAAAATGCTTGCAGCCGTGAAGGCAGAGTGTAGCACCCTTTCAGCCGGCTACACAGATGTGTAACACAAAAATTAATTGGATCAAGTCCGCGAATCAGGCCCATATACAATTAGTACATACTCCAGAGTCCCCAACCATTTTATAACGCTAACGCTAGCTTTTTTCCTAGCCTAAGTATCGATCAACTGGCAACGCTGTTGAACCTCACCCGTTAAATAAGTCATAAGACCCAGCTTCAATACCTAATCTCGACGTCGAGGCCCCAGCGATCATCCCTACCGGGAAAGGACGTTAGACGGGGACCAAGTTCGGTGTATGAGTCGCCGTCGCGTCGCTCCGACCGAATGTGTGTCGCATCTGTAAATATTTATCGATGTTTCAAGGACAAATGTACGGGGAAACATTTGATGTGTGAAATATGTACTGATAGGTTCCTAAAATTATTGGGGTTGCAAGCGCATACTGCCGCTCAAAAATGAGATATACCCTCCCTAACTCCAACAACCCCAACCACCGAAAGTCAGGAGCCTATGAAATGCCATAAAATAGATTTGATCAATTTTTATATTATATTATCGCCATAGTAGTAATGTTGTGTGAAAATCCCATGCGATTGGTAATTTCCAAGTTTTAGGGATCCAAAGATAACCGGATTGATGGACCGACCGACCGATAGATCGACAGACCGACGAAAATAAGTGAAATGATGTTTTGTTTTGTATGTTGCATTGTCATAGAACATCCAGAAAGGAAATGAAGTAAAAAGAAATGAAAACACTAAACAAATAATGCTCCGAGTCTCTCGGTACTTGTTTGAAAAACGCCAGCAGTATAGACAGCAAATATGGTATAAGCCTCTGGAAGAGACCGACTATTGATTTATGTGCTCGAGACATCCAATGATCAAAAAAAATTAATTAACAGATGCCCTGACGTCACTAAAGAGTATTGGTGTAGCGTTACACGAAAACGATATTAATAATGCATACAAAATAGAAACAGACGAGACGTGGGCAATAAAAATCGATTTTGTGTCATAACTAAGAAAAATGCACTGTAGAAAATAGTCTCATAAAGCATGGTGACTATTCGTCATTTATTTGTCTGGGCGGTCCGTAGGACCTTTGCCCATTAGTCACTGTCTGATGTACGTTAGTCGAATCTGTCAGTCCTGGTTGCCCAGAAACCAGACAAAGTCAAGGAAAAAGAGAAAGGAAAAGAGAAGAAAAAAGGAGAGGAGCAAAGAAAAAAAGATATGCTTAGTTTAAGAGGCTTTTTGACTTGGTACACGGATTAATTTTGAGGTGAACTAAACAAATTTTTGATTCGGTTTTGTTAGTTTTGAGTTTACTAAAGATTCACGCTAACTTTTGATTACAGTGCGAGCCGTGGCCTTGAATGTATACGAACTTGCTCCACTGTGTAGTCCAATGAGTCACGCAACAGAGGGTTGCTGTGCGATTCCGCTTGACTATAACGTCGCTGCGCCTGAAGCTTGACATAGTCCCTCAAGTAAGGAATGTCAAGGTCTCTATGTAGTGTCTCATTTGAGACATACCATGGAGGGTTGCAAATTGTCCGCAAAGTTCTGCTTTGCAGTACTTGAAGACTTTGCATGCGTGTCTTGGCAAGAAAACACCAAGCCGCACATGCATAAGTAATGGCTGGTCTAATAATCATTTTATATAGTCGAACTTTGTTTATCAAACTCAATTTGGATGATCTACATAACAAAGGATATAGTTGCCGAAACGCAATTTAGAATTTTGTTTTTATGGATGCTGTATGTTTCATGCCTTTATCAAGGGAGGAAAGTCTTGGGTTGATCGATCAGCCTTGTCGCCTTTCCTCCTGCTTGATTTTGCTTTTACAAAACCTTCAGTCTGTACGTCTTCGTCTGTGGATGTGAGATGATCATCAGTAACGTTTATCAGTGGTCTTTTTAGGGTCTTTGTTCGTTCTTTAGGGGATTCTTTTGAGTTTAGTAATATGGTTACCTGGGCGGTAAGGCTATCAATTTTGGCTGTCTGTTCCTTGATGGTCTCCATTAGGTCTCGAATCTGCCTCGCCTGGTTGTCTATAATCAGCATCAGTTTTTCGATCGTTTTCTGCTCCGATGACATCAGCGTCAGTGAGCTCATGTTTTCTGCTTCTGCTTGGTTTCCGCCACCGCTCAGCTCTTTCCTCATAGTATGTGGAACTGGGTCGTCTGTTGATCCTCCTGGGTCAACTTCCATCTTTTAAAAACTTTTTCTCGCCAACAAATCTCAGAAAACTTATAACTCGCAAATGTGACAATGTTGTCAAAACCCTTTTTACAGGGCGTTCATAAAGCATGGTTTGTCTGATGAAGAGAAACAAGAAAAGAAGTGCTAATAAAACACTACAACGAAGATAAAAACAAGTATCTTAAAGTGAAATGCAACAAACTACAAATAAATGAACAGGATAATGGACCATAGCAACATGCCAATAAAAGTAGTGCCTCCGGGAGATGCAATTATGTCGCCTCTAGTATTGACTGGTTTATCCAAGTATTTGGTGTTTAGCGTTGAGATTACCAATTATCATTGTATCTTCTCCGAACGGGAGTTGTTCTAGCTACGCGAACAAAACAATCATGCAGGTCGCTATTTCTGGACGATCCACCTTCACGAGCAATACGGCAATAAAAACTTCATTAATTCAACAATTACAGGTCCTTCAAAAAAATTCCATTAGAGTTGTTTTCGTTCGCTGAGAGACACATTGGAAAACATGCATTATTCATTGTCTATTGTTCTACAGGTCGTCCAACTTCCAACGCGTAATTTCGGAGAAATTGATTTGACAAATATAACGAACTCTAAAGGAAATCACAATAAAGTTTTTTTTAGACTTATCGATATGGTAACTTCGTTACCATATCGATAATGTATATCTTTGAAATATAACAGCAGCCCATAGATGAACGGATTATTTATCGAATCTGGTCCGTGGAGAATGGCATTCACATATAGTAGATAGAGCATTATTAGGTATCCCTGTGGCTAGTTAGTCGCCTATTAGGAGTGACACTTTCCGTTCTTCGTACTATCTTTTAGATTTGCTGGAAGGACTTTTTTGCATCTTCGAAGTTTAGTCAGATGTATCAGCATTTGCTCGCTTCGCCAGGTCAACATAGTCTGTCAGTCTGAGCTCCAGCAGCCCATATGCTTTGTGATAACTATACATTCTCATGTACAGCCATGGCCCCAACCCAAGTCGACAACAAACACTGTAAGGCAAACTTTAGTTTCCTAACCCCATCATTGCCCACTTTGTGATATGTGATAAGCTGTTGACAAGAACTTCATAGTCAAACAACTTTTTATCCAGTGTTACCTGTACAAGCAAATTGTTCATTCAATTCGCATCCATCATTTGAATGTTGCGTGATAGTTTTTCATGTATCTGTAAATCATGACGAATGTCTAGAGGGTCGCCTAGCTTAACACGATGTGTAATTACCAGACGTGTATTTTTTATTTTTTGTCGTCGACAATATAAATTATGTGCCCAGAGGCGTAGTTATCTCCAAAAGGTAGTTAAAATTTCAAGTGACTTAATCGTAAAAAATTATGAAGCGTTTGAAAAAAAGAGTGCTGAACACAAAATGTTTCTAGTACTTATGAATCAATAGAAAGAATTACCCATACAATTACACCAGGTTCAGGTGATTATTAAGAACAGTACAAGTAAATTAATATCACATATTTTTCTGTTAGTTATTGCCTGATGAACACTAAATAATCTTTCCTTAAACTGTAATGTGAATATCCGTCCTCGCCGTATAAGTGATACAACATAGAAAGAAAGTTCACGTATGGTCTCTCTGCGATCTCATACACTGGTATAATTATTAGGACTCTAGCTAGCTAAAATTCAGGGTAATGAAACTGATGCATGAATATTGCTTTAACCAATAATTCAATGTTGAAAATTTCAAGGTGGCAGCAGGGCGCCATTTTTTAACCTTTTTTAAATGGAATGGAGGTCATGTAATATTCCGTTTTAAAGCTTCTTATAAATACATTATAATCCTAGAATGTAAAATCACCACCTGTGAAAATGTCGAACTGGCACGCTGTCAAATTGAAGCTTGCTAGCTTACATTGAGTTGCTTATAGCTCAACTTTTATTCTCTTGGAAAAGCATTATCCGAATATGTAATAAAATATGAAAGAATAATTTTAAAAAAAATGCCAAAATCTGTTAATTCTTTTTTAAACTGAATTGGTCATAGTTTATTGCACATTCGGTTAGACCCTTCCAAGAAAATATGATTTATATGGCATATTGTAGCGCCCCCGTATAACTGGAACTCTGGATACCATCGAGATACCTTCGTACATCGACTGAAGGTTCAAAAGGTGTGCAGCACCGTCACGCTTGGGCAACCAGAATTACGCGACCATGAATGGAGCGTGACCGCATCAACATTCGATACATCTGGAGATGAATCTACTGTCATCTAGACAACTTCCATGGAAGTTCACGACTCGACCTGGAAGACGCTAGAGTATTTCTGGACTCATCCATAGGGTAACAAATACCCGACCAGATGGCGGAAGCAGTCAGTCATAGTCGAGACAGTCAACGACGCGAAAGTCGACATAGTTATACATTTGTAATAATTTCATTGCAAATGTGTTTATAAATTAGTGACAAAGTAATAAATTAGACTTTGAACAGTAAGAACGGTGTCCTCATTACAATACTATAAAGCTTTGATGATTAGCAATTAAGTTATAAGTGGTTCCAGAAATAAATAGAGTATTAAAAGCTTAATTATTGAATGTTGGATGTTGTATGTCAATGTTTGTTGATATACCTGTATATATATATATATATCAAAAGGGGCGCAATGAGAATTGTGATGGAAAATTGTAACGCAACTTTTTTTTTTTTTTTTTATATATATCGAAACAGCCGCGCAGGCAGAAGCCTAAATGCCGGAACACCGCGGCTGCTATGATCATCCCAAAGAAATTTTGTTAATACGATTTTTGAACTGCCTAAGGTTAGCAGAACTGGGAAAAGCCTCCTCCCGTAGATTGTTCCACAATCTAGACACCCTCGGGACAAAAGAGCGGTCGTATCGGCCAATTCTGGATGTACGAAGTTTGACACGGTTAGGATGGGACGCCGAAGTCAGGCGGGTCTGTCTGGCAGGCACATCGCGCGGCGGCATCATGGAAGAGAGCTCTGAGGAGCAAAGCCCGTTGGTGTAGCGATAGAAAAGAGCCAGATCGCCGACGGCCCGCCGGTGCGAAAGAGTCCCGAGACTGTCTGTTAGAGAAGAGTCATCGATCAGTCGGACCGCCCTCCTCTGGACAGCATCGAGCATGGACAATGTAGTCGGGGCGGCAGCACCCCAAATGTGTGAGCAATACTCGAGGCTAGGCCTTATCTGGGCCTTGTATAGAGTGAGAAAGACATGCGGAGAAAAGTACTTCTTAGCCCTAAACAAATAGCCTAGCTTTTTCTCAGCAGCTGCAGCTATTGAAGAGATGTGTTCGTGCCAGATCAGGTCCTCGGTGATCCGGACTCCGACCAGCCGAAATGAATGGCTCTTTGGTAGAACTCGACCGTCCATCGAAACTGTATGAGCGCTAGGACGCTTTTTGTTCGTCAAAGTACAGTACTGTGTTTTGGAAGCATTGAACTGTACAAGATTGTTGCGTCCCCAAGCAGTGATAGCCTCCAGGTCTCTTGTCAGAGAAGAAGTCGTCGCTAGTCTTCTTTTTTCCAGCTCAGCGGCAGAGATCGGCTTGTCACTCTGAATTCCTGCATGTAGAGTGCTGTCATCAGCGAAGCTGTGGATTGGGTTGATCGTGCAGGAGAGGCGGTCGTTGATATGTAAGAGAAACAGTGTTGGAGCCAAGACCGATCCCTGGGGAACACCCGCGTTGACGTTGTGGGATGAAGAGGAGAATCCGTCAATTACGACGGATATCTTGCGGCCAGAGATAAAGTCAGCCACCCATCTGCAAAAATTTTCTGGGAGGCCATGGGATGGAAGTTCGCTTAAGAGGGCAGCGTGCCACAGCTGATCGAACGCTTTCGTGATGTCAAGAGCAACGACATGAGCCTCACCATGAGACTGGATGAGTTTACTCCACAGTTGCGTGACGTAAGCTAGGAGGTCCCCTGTGGATCGTTGGTGCCGGAAACCGTACTGCCTGTCGCTAATCAAGCTGTGACGTTCGAGGTAGTCCAGAAGCTCGCGATTTATGCACCTCTCCATCACTTTACTTATAACAGAAAGCAGAGCTATAGGCCTGTAGTTGTAAGGGTCGGTTTTAGATCCTTTTTTTGGGATGGGCTGTACATGAGCAAATTTCCAGTTTTCTGGAAAGGTGCCGGATTCATAAGATATCTGGAAGAGACGCGAAAGAACTGGAGCAAGCTCCGCTGCACATCTCTTCAGTATAATGGCAGGAATCAAGTCCGGACCAGAAGCTTTGTTGATGTCGAGCGACAAGAGCACTCGTCTTACGGTCTTATGCCTGAATGTTACCTCCCGCATAGTGTGGGGAACCCTTTGAATTGACGGCACTTGGGCGTTGGTGGGGACGTCCATGGTGGAGTTGGCAGCAAAGATCTTGGCTAGCACTTCCGTCTTGGCCTTTGAGTCGAATACAATAGTTCCATCCTGACACGTAAGTGGTGGAAGGCTACTGTGTGAGAAGTTCTTTTCAATCTGCTTGGCCAGCGTCCAGAAAGACCGACTGCCATTGCGCTGCGACATTACCCTGTGCCTAACTTTTATATCATGCTGGTTTTTGGCATTGCGAACCGCTTCGTTATATTTGTTTCTGGACTCGACGTCGGCTTGTCTGTTCTCTACAGTGGGGTTTTGTAAGTAGGTTCTGTGGGCCTTGATCTTCTGCTGGCGAGCAGTGTCACACGATTTGTTGAACCAGCCGTTGGACCCTGGTTTAGGAACTTTTACTGTGTGAGGGATGTATTCCTCCATTCCGACGTGGATAATTTCGGTTATTGAAGAACAGACAGTCGACGCATGCGAGTCAGTGAAACAGACATCTCTCCAAGGAA